ATTTACTGTGTTTTCTATGCTTAGGGAACTTTATCTACAATGGATGAGGGGTAGCGCAAAAAAACTGTTTTCATTTTCTGGAAGAAGGACATATTTTTGTTTTACACTAGACAAAGGTACCAAATCAGTCTTTTCTTGCAAGACAGAGACTCTGTGACAGCCATTTGCAGAGGAGTCGCACGGGTAAGTGTAAAAAGATTCCATTTTCTTGAACGTCTGACACACTAAATGGACAGTTTCACCCTGTTTCATTATGTTCTTAATTACAGCAATGCCTGTGTCAATTTGAATGCAGTTGTCTCCTTGGTTTGGTGATAAAACACAATCAGAGAAATGCACCAGCTTTGGGTCTTTTGTACTTGAAGAGAGATGTGATTCTTGATTTGATTTGTGAGATTGTTTTGTGGGCATTTCTGATAGTCTTCTGACAACCTGCTGCAAAGGTTGATCTGGTTTTCTAACCAACCGTTTCAGTGTTCCTAAGTAGTTCTCATATGGAAATGCAGATATGTTGTCAAGAGGGCCAAATGCTTTATACTCTTCTGCAAGATGAATCACTTGGTGAACATTGTAAACAACTTCATCTGTGCCGTAAAGCTGGCTGTAATGTTTTACAAATGATGACAGAATCTTGTTGGCAATTTCTATCATTGAACCAGGAAGGCCAGGGCTGAGGAGCAGAAACATGCCAGCAGAAAAGAGCATAAAATTGTCGTAAATTTCATTTTCGACAAATCCTTTTAAAACAATCGGCCCAGTATAGATCATAAATTGACGGAACTCTGTGGCCTTCCATCTATCCACATCTCTCAACGAACGAGGCTTTCTGGCAAATTCTTTAGGCATAAAAGGACGGAGAGCAACAAGCCTGTCTGAGATCTTTTGAATTTGCTGTGAAGACAACCTTGTTCTGAGCTGTTTGCCTTTCATCCACATTTGAATCAGTCTTCTTGTCACTCCGAGACAGCAGGTGTGCATGTAATCAATTGGAAACTGGGTTATCATTTTTACTACTCCAGTCAAGGGGCCTAAACTGTTACCCAAATGGTGTTCTTCATTTTTCATTTTTTCAAAGTCATCGTCCGTACGTAAAGGTGCGTCAGTTTCAGGATACGTCATTTTATTGGACCAAACTCCAGTCTGGGAACACTTGTCACAGCCATAGTAGCCATTGTGAGACTTGACATGTTTGACAAATGCCCTTGCAGGGGCATCACATATGAAGGAGGAGACTACAACCTTAAACCGAGTTCCATTCCTCACAATACCTTCACGCAGAACTATCCTCAGTTCTGCAATGAAGTCTCTCAAGTATTCCCAGACTGAGCTTGGTTTGCTATTGCCACAAAATAAACCAATTATAAATGGCGATCGTGTTTTGTCACAGTCAATCGTTCCGAGAATTGGCCAAAATTGAGTTTTGGAGCTTTTGAAAAGGGGAATTCCATCAATGTTAAATTGCAAAGCAAGAGTTGTTATTTTTGGCAAACTGGCAATATGGTCCAATGTCTTCAGTAGACAACTGACCAGGCCAAAATGGTAATATTCCCCATTACATATCTTAGTTACAGGTACCTTTGTCTGTGTGCCAAGAAGAGTCCTTGCATCCTTGGGCAAATCAGGAAATTCGGACCTCAAGATTGCCAGTAGTGCTGTTAGAGCTATGAGAGGTATGCAAAAAGATGCTGCCCATGTTTGCAGTTTTTTTTGCAACTGATTAACTGAATCGTTGCTACTGCTGTCAGATTCTGCATTTGGTTGGTCTGTATCAGAGATACTACCACTGTCAGAAAGAGATTCAGAATCAGAATCAAGCCAACATGGGTTATCGTGGTCGGTCGCAAGAGAGGAAACTATATTGCAAGAAGGCAATTCATCTCTATTTTCAAAGTTTTGAGATGCGTTAACTTGTGCAGTAGATTCGGGATTGTTTTCTGTTTGTATTTTGTATTCATTCAAAATCTCCTGTTCTATCTCTTGCACAGTGGCCAAAGTCTTTCTTCTTTTTGTCCAGTAGGACATTGTGATGTGTGTAAATGTGTGCTATTGTCAATATTTTGTACATGTACTGCACATGTATTAAGCTATATTTGTATTTCTATACGAGCTAGGTCTATACATGTTTAGGTTCTAATGTATTGTGTATGTATTATTACTTGGATCTTGTGATGTTGTTGCTTTGGAAATTCTCCTGAAAGACAAAAAAATGTATGAATAAAAGAAGAATTAAAACCACATAGAAAATATATGTAATTGCCTTTAATCTATTATCTCCCTGAATAATTAGTTTACTAATCGCATGCAACCTTTTTTACTTTATTTCAGAATTCAACAACAACAAAAACCTCTTCATTTACACACCCTAAAGGGGTTCCACACCCCTTTGTATTTTTTTTTCACAAATGAAAATATTTTTAAAAAATTTAAACCAGTAGCCATTGATATCCAGTTGAAACTTAAAGTCCTATAGAAGTCAATGGCTTCTGGATTTTCAAATTTTCAAAATATCTTCTTTTGTGTTTAGCAAAAGAAACAAATTTTTGGGGACAATCTCCTAAAATTATCTTATTTTATGTTCAATAGGACAACCACATACATACATACTAAAACACACACACACACACACACACACACACACACACACACACACACACACACACACACACACACACACACACACAGTGTAACCCCCAGTTTATTTTTCCCCCCAATTTCTGTTTAACAGAGAGAAGAATTTTCTAACACATTTCTAATCATAATAGTGTTAATAACTCATTTCTAATAACTGATTTATTTTATCTTTGCTATGATGACAGTAAATAATATTAGACTAGATATATTTTAAGACACTTCTATACAGCTTAAAGTGACATTTACAGGATTAACTAGGTTAATTAGGTTAACTATATGCAGGTTAGGGTAATTAGACAAGTCATTGTATAATGATGGCTAATAATTTTATTTAAAAATATATAGTAGATGTCAGAATTATTTTTATTATTTTTTAAATATTTACCAGCGTTGTTTAACAAAGCAAGGGAATTTTTACTGTATGTCTGATAATGTTTTCTTTTTCTTCTGGAGAAAGTCTTATTTGTTTTATTTTGGCTAGAATAAAAGACATTTCTATTAAAAAAAACATTTTAAGGACAAAATTATTAGCTTCTTTAAGCTATATATATATCTTTTTTTTTTTCGATATTCTACAGTTCGTCGTTATACATCATTATAATCATCGTTATACAATAGCTTGCCTAATTACCCTAACCTGTTAACGTAATTACCTAGTTAAGCCTTTATATGTAACTTTAAGCTGTATAGAAGTGTCTTGAAGAATATCTAGTCTAATATTTTTTACTCTCATCATGACAAAGATAAAATAAATCAGTTAAATGAGGTATTAAAACTATTATGATAACAAATGTGCTGAAAAAATATTTTCTCCGTTAACCAGAAATTGGGGAAGAAATGAACAGGCGGCAAATAATTTAGGGGGGCTAATAATTCTGACTTCAACTGTGTGTGTGTGTGTGTGTGTGTGTGTGTGTGTGTGTGTGTGTGTGTGTGTGTGTGTGTGTGTGTGTATAAGAACATTTTCAACACATTTCTAAACATAATAGTTGTAATATCTATTTTCTAATAACTGATTTATTTTATAACTGATTTATTTTGTCATGATGACAGCACATAATATTCTAATAGATATTTTTCAAGACATAACTCTTTTTTAATAACTGATTTATTTTATCTTTGCCGTGATGACAGTTAATAATATTTATTAACTAATATATGGCTAACACATGGCTAATATATTAAAAAGCAAACTCATGTGCATGTGCATGTGTATGCATTATGACATTGATACTGATAAAGGCATGTTTTGCCAAAGCTTATAGGTGCACATGAGTATTTTCCTGAAGGTACAAAAGTTATATTTAATTTAGCTAGAGTGATATTTTGATTATATCTGTGTTTCCTAAAGTGTACTCTATCCAACACTACTTTTATGTCATCTAAGAATTTTTACATTTTATGTTCAACATAAAGTGATAGAAGACTTGATGCAAACATCTTTCAATCAGTTTAACTTTTAAGCTTTTATCATTGCCTTTATGTACCATGTATTTAAAACTGTGTGACGTGTTTAACTACCAAAAGTTATATATATATATATATATATATATATATATATATATATATATATATATATATAAGACCATCATGGACCAGCCAGGCATTTGTTAAATGCGTTGTTAAAGTCAGAACATGAGACTGGGATGATGGTTGCCGGTTTTTTGTACATACAACATTATGTAGCTTTAATTAATCTAACAGTATTATACAGTTAAAACATACTTACAAAGCTCAGATGTTCTGTGTTCTGCTGAAAAAAAGAAAAACATCACTGAATGCACTAGATATTACATGTCTGCAAATTAAAAATATATTTATTTAATTTTAATATAATTAATATTTATGACAAGTCAGAGATGCAGGATGACTGCGAAAATAGGCATTTAACAATTAAACACAGTTCTTAAACAAATCTTTTGTGTTATATGTTAATATGTAAAATAACATCTGAAATTGCATAAAGATATTAGCAAAGAATGTGAAACACAATGCCAGTGATAAGACCTTCCAATCCAGTAACAAACAAGAAGCCATGAGTAGACTTTACATTTTTATTCTTAAAGATGTTTAATTTCACCTATGACTTTTTTCTTGTATGCTGATTTTTAGCGGGCCAACAGCATCATCGACATTTGCAGTGCCCTCCATAATTATTAACAATCCTGGTTAAGATGTGAAAACTAATATTTGCACCTTTTGTGAAGTTGTTTTGGAGTAATTATGAAAAGTGCTATACAAATAAAATTTTATTGGATTATCATTATTAGGAAGTGTTTATTTAGTTATTTCCTAGGGACACTTTTGGTCTTGGAGTAAATTACCATTTTTCCGTTAGGCGGCGGTATAAACTAGCAGTGTGTCGTTCGCCAAAAACGTGCTAAAGAAAAAATTCCCGCCGAGATTCTCGCATGCTTCGGGGATTCGCAGTATCGTAGTTGCATTTGTTGTGGGCATTGTTAATGTTTTCAAACACCTAAAGGCTGACTAGGTAAGTATTTTATTGTCATTACTATATTCTAATGTGTTACAAATCAAGAAAATATGGACATCATATGAAGTCTGTGTAGGCTAACGTTGGCGAAAATATTTTACTTCATTCTTGCATAGGAATTAGCAATGTCAGTTTCTACATGTCCATGCGCTGGGTATTAGGGTTAAAAGCGAGTGATAAAACGTAAGGAAACGTTAACGTTAGTAAATAAATTTAGCGTTGCGTTGTAGTTTGTCAGATGATGAAGTAACGTTAGGTGGGACACTGAACTGTGGCTTCCGTGAGGCGTCGGTCATGCGCTTGCCATTATAGATTAAAAGAGAAATAAATCATAAGGTGATAAATAAATATTGCATTGTTTGGTGTGTAAATGGTGACAAATAATCAGCCTGACGCAAATTGCGCTCGCATTAGCGGACAGGTGAAAGTTTTATTTAGGGACATTCTATAAAAGTGGGAAAAAATGCTTTACATGGCTTCATGTAACGTTAACTATACATAAACTTAGAAAACCCACATTTGTCAAACTTTCTGCGTTTTCTCTCATCAAATAGTTCTCTGATTTGTGAAAACCTTCTTTTTACACGTGATCACATAATTCATTTCCGCTAAACGGTTTTCAACTTAAAATTAACTTGATAACGTCGACTGAAGCGTCAAATATAGGCCAGACTTTAGTGCATATTATATAAATGATATTTACATGAAGGAGATGGTTTAAGCTTTGGTAACCTGATGGTAACCTGCACACCCCACGGTTCAGTGTCACTGACTATGTCGCGATGCGTCACTTATGTCACATAATGTTCTTCGTGTGTTCAAGCTACATTAAACTTCGACAGGTGTCATAACTGCATGACATTGTAAAACACTTACTGGGTTAATGCATTAATTAAACAGTTAAGGATATTTTCGGTTTTTAATTTAAATAAATGTTTTCTGCATATGCAAAAGTGATCCCAGGCTAGGTTCTACGCAGAGATACATTACATTTAGAGACAGACTATTAAAAATATACAAAGATGTGTTAACTTAAAATGTTATAAAAATGTGAAAAACACATAGTCCAACTTTGCTGCTACTAAGCCTGTCGGATAAATACTGGATGAATCAACAAATTCACTTGACAACTAATTATTTCAAAATGATACCAAGCAACTAAACAGTGTCTCACCACAAACCTTTCAATGTCCTTCCCGGGTTTTGCCTACTTATCTTGATTTAAAAAACGATTTCAATTCATAATCAGTTCAATTTATAATTTATAATAATGATAAACGTTTTAAAAATTATAAAAATATATAAGATTATAATTTTAATTTGATGATAATAATAATTAAAGGTCCCGGGTCAAAACGGGTCTAAATTGTCTAAACCTAAATATTGAGACGTGTAAATATTGTCAGTTAAAACTTACATTTCCAAAGATATTTTTCGGCCCTTAAAAGAGCCTTTGGGGTAGCTGATGTTAACAAAATAAGGGAAAAAACAAGACAAAATTAGGTTTTATTGCAAATGTCTAAATTTAAAGTATTTGTAGTTTTAAATGTTTTTTTTTTAATTGATTAAAGTGTATAAAATCAATGGTACTTACAAGAAGCAGGGGCAGTCGGCACTGAAAAGAAAACAGATTACACAGTTAATAAAGACTGAAAACATAGCCTAAAATTGCACTTATAAGATAAGCAAAACGCAGAGTGCACTCTATCCGACTGAGACCTTACAGCTTATTATATTAATTTAAAAGTGTAACGTTAGCGTTTCTTGGTCTCATAGCCTGGCTGTAATGAATGAATGAGCTGGCGCTCTTTTTACACACACAGACGCACAGGCACTGTAATACACGCACATTGATTCAGTCAAACCAAATGTGGGACAACCTGCTGTTTGTTTGTAGTATTGTTTTGCTTTTTTAATCTAACAAATAATATGACGGACTCTAAATTAAAGTCTCAGTCGGATTTGTGTTACCACTAACGTTAGTTACCGTAAAATGCTTCATACTTGCTAAACGGCTTTTACCGTTTAAACCGTTAGCGGCGTAAGATAGCCTACATATAGCGATTGTAGAGAAAACACGGAAAAAATACGAGAATACTGTTTTTGAATAGTAAATGTAGTACATTTACTAGAAGCGACATTTTTCTGACATTGTATATAACGTTATTGTTATTAACACGAAAACAAGCGCCAAATACCCCTCATCTTTATTAATGAATAACGTACTCGATATAATAACCATTATTCTTGATATTTAAAACACCATTTTATTCGTAGGTACTTGTATGAACAAGTTATAACCAATTTATAATAAAATATAACGATAAAGTTAAAAAAGACGTTTACCTCAGGAAAACTGGCAGTTATGTTCGTTAGGAATGTCCACTTAAATGACCCAGGCTGTGTCCGCGATGGGCACAGACCTCAACTTATATAATGCCCACCGCCTGGTTTCGCGGGCTAGTCACGGAGTAAAAAGTGACAAATTAAAAGGTTTATTAATGAATAATTGAAGATTAAAATGTGTTATTGTTTGTGTTATAATCGTCATTAGATATGAATAAAAAGTGCTGTGTAGGGTTATTAAATTATTATTGATTTTATTATTTAATCGCATTTTTGTATTTGTCTAAATTATTCATATATAGGCCTATTCACTCAATTCCTATATTCAATTCCTAATAAATAATTAAAACAATGATGTTTAAAAAAAATAATAACTGTATTATAATTGTTAAGTAATTAATAAATTAATGTGAATATTACAGTTAAAATAATATACATGTATATTGATTATATTTATATATTCAATTATGTTCTTTGATTTAATGGTGCCTATATCTTTTAAAATGCTCTCAAGTTAATATTTTCCCCATAGAGTGAATTTTAGAAACTCAAAGGTCAAACAAATCTTTTAAAACTTTTCTTTTAAAAACTAGCCAACTCTAAAATGTTGTAATTATTATAAAAAATATATATTTTCATTGCCAATACCTATTTTTACCAAGTAGCATAGGTCCTGTATTTATTCATCTTATGTAATTTTATTTAAATTTGCTTAAGTCTTTTCTTTTAGGCCTCACATAAATTACATCTAAACATTTTATGCTAGTATTAATAAATGTGTATCCAGGAAACGTCTTTATATTTTAAGAGATCATACATTGGGAAAGGAAAGAACAGATTATGATGGATTAATTAATGATGATTGACCTTCGAAAATGTGTGATTTCATGTAAATATGTTCTTTTTGTTTTTTAAATGTATAATACTGATGGTGATGATGATGATAACTGGCATTTTTATTATTAATATGTAATATCTTACCTGTTTCATCATTTTGTTTTGTAGTTTGAGGTACATCCGTTATCTTCAACCAGAATGAAGGCAGTGTTTCATCTTTGTGGCCCTCGCATATGAGCTTATGTAGAATTTGAATTTTCCATAAGCTGTTTGTCTGTCTACTTGGATTCACTCAGGGTTTCAAGATGGCTCTCAAAAAGGAGTGTACTACAAGGTGCAGGCGAAAATCATCGCTTATGCTGTTAGATAGTAGGTAGGTAGGGTTATTTGTCTAGTTTGTATATTTGTTTAGTTGTTATTGATTTGCAGAATTATTTAGCAGGCATCACACCAAACAACATGCCAAAGACAACATGTTCACATTCAACAGTATATAAAATAAATAAATAGAATAAAACACAATAAGCAGTCCAGCTGACTAGTCTGTTTTTGACACCACAGGGAGACAGTAGCCGCATTTCCACTATCAGGCCAGTGCGAGCCAGGGCTTATATCGGGCCAGGCCGGGCCAATCGCCCGGGAGGTTGAGCAGTGAGGCCGAAATCATGTCGCGTTTCCACTGTGGGGCTAGTAGCTCGCAGCGCGTCACGCAAACCCCGCCTCCAGAACATCCCCCGAATCGAACGTCACTCAAACCGCCCACTTCAGCGAGAATCATGCAGATAAAGCCCACCATCACATCATCACGAAACTATTAAAATTAGGACAACCAAAACAAACAAATGACACGTTACTGTACAGCAGTACAACGCATGTCTATACGCACATGCCTGTGTGTTTTCATTCATTTACTCGCCGACCGACTGGCATCGAAATCCAGTGGTCTTGCCACCAACGGAGGGACCCGGAGCGCAGGGAGCGCACACATCCATAATATAACACCACATATATAAAATTCTCAGTTAATAACTCGATATAAAATGTATTTTATAACATCTTCTAGACAGAATCTGTCCAACATTCATCCCAAATGCTCCGGAGAGAACTGAAACATGATTATTTTCCCCCTATAGGCTTTATGACACTAGGTTAGGTGATTTACCCTTTATTTAAAGATGTTGCTTATTATATCTTAAGTAAAGGAAAGTGTTCAGTGTTTCAGCACAGCACGTAATAAAATATTGCCTATATTTCGTTGCGCTCAGCAGCTATGCACTAACAAAGCTCTTTATGTATTTAAAATTCCCTTTTTTAATTTTACCACGTCATATAAAAACATACACACTTGTTTGAGGACACAGAACACATTTTGAACTTGCAGTTTTCCCCGTCAAAAAAGTGCTGCGCAACTGCAGACAGAAAAAAAGTTCGCCTATTTCTGCTTTCACTCACCCCGAAAATGCTCTGTTTGCATGATTTGATTAATTTCATCGTATCCAAATACTTTATAAATAATATTTAAAACATTTTCCGGTGTTTATTTATTTTTATTTTTTTAGAAAATATCTAAAATCTTTTTTTCAAAGAGGCTTTTGAAAAATGAAAGTTTAATATAAATTTGAAACAGTTTGATATAGTACCTAATTGTTATAGCTATAGCTTTTGTTAGTTTTATATTGGTTTATTTATTTAATGTGATTTTATTATAGGCCTATCTAATATTTGTAATTCTTTAAATTATTTCAATATAGGGCTATTTTATCTAGATATGACACTATTGTTTTGAGCCTACAAAAGTGGACATGAAATTTGTAAAGTTTAATGTCCTACTGTTCTATATATAGTGTATTATCCCCGAAATAAATTAAAACAATAAAAATAAAAGAAAAAAGCCGCTCGCGGCATCAACAGAGCTATGAATGGAGCGCTCTTTTTTTCGGTCTCACACACACACACAGGCATCTAAACGCGCAAAAACACACTTACAGTATTAAACTTGACAAAACCTCTTGAAAACCTTTACTGTCTGCTGTGTCTTTAATATGGTGTAAAGATTATTATGCGTTATTGAAACATCAAAGATGCAGCAAAGAAAAGTGACTTATTAAAACTATCATTTTATGCAACAGCCTTACATTTAAAAGAGAAATTAAGGGCGATCATATGCAAAAAAGACCCAGCCTATAATTTGTTCCAGATGTTTTCTTTCCCTTATTTATTTATTTGTTTGGCACATGTACTCGAGTGCGATCGGAAAACTGTGCCCGCCTCTCCTTTCACTCCGCCCCGAAGCCCCGGCTGGCCCTCCTTGGCCCAAGGTATTCGGCGGGCCGAAAAAGGCTGGCCGTTGGCCCCGAGAAAGCCCCGCTTTGGCCCGATTAGGCCCCGGAAGTGACAGTGGAAACGCCACTGGCCTTGGCTCGCCCTGGCTCGCTCGCTTTAGGCGCGATAGTGGAAACGCGGCTAGTATCTCTGCTCAGATGGCAAATAGTCAGATGAGGAACTAAATGGGTGCATTGAATCAGCCACAATACTGATTGCCTTTATGACCACTCCATCTTTGTAAATGTATTCCAGTTTACTAGAAGTGGTGACTATTTTCCTTAAACACTTTTCTTGACTCTCAGTAGCATTGCCATACCAGCAAATACTGCAAACAAGTCAATATACTTTTAATAAAAGCAGAGTAAAATATCTTAAGCATTTTATTGCTGATTCAAAAGGACATCAAAAAACAATGTCTCTGCTTAGCTTGAGTGTTAATACACTTAACCCACGAGTCCTATCTCTAAAACCAGGTCAAAAAACTTTTCTGTATGCTCTCCATTAATGAATGTAGGTGCAATATATTATATTATATTATATTTTATTTTTTTCTCAAGTCTATACACATTTCTTTATGTTTTTTTATTCAACACGTTTAGAATCATTACATCACTTTATGAAAAAAATCCAAGAATGGCCATGTTTCTCTTTTCTGCCATAAAAGAGGCTCATAAAGACTGAATCATCAGCATATTTATTGCCTGTTCCATACGTTTAATAAGATGCTTGTTTTATATTTGGCTTTTTTTTTTTTTTTACCAAAATCTTAAATTCTGCCTTCATTTACTCATCCTTAAATGGTTACAAACCTGTTTAAGTTTGTTTTTGTTCCAAACAAATAAATTTATTTAGAAAAATGTTAAAAACCTTTACCCATTGACTTCCATAAATGATAAGTGGTTACTGTTATTTTTTTTGTCCAACAGATTAACGAAACCCTTGAAGGTTTCTTGAGGGCCGCTGTGGTGCTGAGTTTAGCTCTAACTTGCTTCAACACACCTGCCCTGGGGTTTCTAGTATATCTAGTAAGAACTTGATTAGCTGCTTCAGGTGTGTTTGATTAGGGTGACCCGAGTTTGGACACCCCTGCATTAGAGGGAGAGTAAATAGTGAGTAAATTTCACTTTTTGGTGAACAATCACTTTTTAAATCTATAAAATTAAAGTATATGTGCAGCTTTTACAATGTTAGTGAAGATATTTTTCTTGTTTTCCAGGATGGCCTGATGCCTGTAGTCAGTTGGATGATTATATACACTAGATGCCTTGATTCTGCATGAATGGGGGATTAACCACTAGGTAGGTCTGTCAACCATATGTTCATAATAACAGAATGAGCTTATTACATTTACATAATGAAAATTGAAAAACACAACAAACAGTTTTGTTTTATTATATGTAATACAATGGGCCCTATCATACACTCAGCCCAATAAGGCTCAAGACGCGTTTCTATTTTTAGACCAGTGCAACACTAGTTTTGCCGTTTCCACCATGTTGTTTAAATAGTAAATCCATTTGCATGTGTATATTTGTTTTTTTTTTTAAACAAGCTTAGATTTGTCCACTTGTCAGGTTTTGGACCATATGGGGCATAGCATACGTGTTTGGAAATAACTCAGTTGTTTGAGCACACTTCCTTATAATTGTTCACTTATTCGTTTGCTGGAAATTAGAATTGAATTTAGAAATAGATTTTGAATTTAGAAATAGATTTAGAAATAGATAGAGAACAAATCTTTGCAATCAAACTAAATTAGTTCGGTATAGGCTAATTGATTTGTGTGTACAACATGTTTTCTTATCTACAAAAGATAGTGAAAGTAAAAAATGAGGAGGCTCATTCTCTCATTTTCACACTGCAGATATTTAACTGTTTTCTTGGTAATGAAGCGTTTAGTTTTTCACCTTTAAAGTCCGCCATGTAAATAGCTAATGCGCCAAGGCGCGACACAACAGTCTCTTAAAGTGAATAGGAGATGAAACTCTGATTGGTTTATTCTTAAAACACACCTATAACTCATTAAGAGAATAAGCTCAACCCTGTTAGATCATGCGCTATGAGGCAGAGTGGATTTTTTCGTCCTTAAAATAGCAAAAGTGGATTCAGACACGCCCTTAATGCTTTTGTGCCCTGTGCTTTGAACTTTACGCCTAGATCGTTAAAATAGAGCCCAATGTGTTTGTGTTTAAAGTTCAAACATAAACCGTTGCTCGTCTCTGCCCCTTATTTCTAAAAAGAGCTGCAGCACATTGATGCTCAAACTGGGGTCTGTTTCAGAAAGGTGGTTCAACCAACTCTGAGTTTAATCTTGAACTCAGAAGGGAAACGTATTTGGGGTTTCAGATCAACTGAATAGTGTTAGTTTATCACAGTCTTGTGTAGTTTTATGTGAAATGTAAGGACGGGCAAATGCCTTTCTCTGTTGTAAGGACTTAAAAAAATGATTTTTAAAAAACAAATGATTAATTGGCATAATGCTTTTCAAATGTTTTTACCATAGAGATGTCTGTTATTGTTTTCTTATTCCGGCCATTCTGACCGAATCACATTTCAGACTTTTTTTGTCTAACAGCAACTGACTCTCCTCCTGTCAGTCACTCTTCTAAATACAATTTGAATTTTGACGAGGGAATGCAGGTATTGTGCATTCAATCATTTCTGCAAATGTTGCAAGTAAACAACAAGGCTCTTAAAACACTGCTTCAAAAATTTTAGTGTTGTCATATTTCAAATACAGAAGTCATTTGTTTTTTTTTATTTCATTACTGACAGTGTACTTATTTGTAAAATCATTTTAGTTTAAAATCAAGTGTAAAACAATTTTCATGTGCTGTAAAGCTATATATTCAACAAATTTGCCATATTGCAAAGCAGTGAGCAAATAAGTAAAATAGTGTAAAATGTGTAAATAAAAGACTATTTCAATCTTTTCTTCATATACTTTAATTAAACATTTCAAAGTAGAAAATATTGTTTAATAAAATGGACATCAAATATATCTATGGCCTTATAGTTCTGCCAGTGGTATTGAAAAATTCATTATGGTGAAGGAAAAAGCAACCACACTTCCTTTGGTAGTGCAAATTCCCATATATATAGCCTTGTGATTAAACACTTGAACCATTCTATCAAGTTTACACTTGAAAAGGGCCTTAATGAAAATCAGTTTTTTTATTAAACTAACTAATTGCTTATTTTAAGTATTTTTTTAAAAAAAGAGTACTTTTTTTACTTTTACTTGTACACTTAATATTAGTATTAGTTACTAGTAGTATTACTTTACCAATGTAGTAGTATTTTTACTTGGGTACAAATTTTCAGTTCTCTTTCCATCTTTGAGAGAACATAAACAAATACATTACTTTATTTTTTATTTTACAAGCACATTTATTGTAGGTTTATTATATTTTTATTTATGAATATATTATTAATTACTACATTACTAATGTATTTTATTTGAATAAATTGGAGAGTTCTTATTGAATTTAAAGTGCATTGCTGAGAATACATTTCAGGTGTTCAGTACGCTGCATGTCAGTCTTGAATAAAAAAAATAAGTACTGGAAAAAGTGTTTAAAAATCCTTGTTTTTTTTAAAATCTGGGTTTATACAGTTCTGCCTATATATACCCTGAATGGGGCACCAATATTACGATTCATTTTGAAAAAAGCAACCCAACAAAAAGACACCTGCAATTGAGACAATAAACGTTTAATACTTATCACTTTTATAATATAGCAGGAGAAAGCAGAATGGTATGTTAATGAACTAATAGGCTATTTATTTTTATAGTATGCCATGGGAAAAACGTTTATTTGGAAAATATTAGCCAACAGAATAAGAAAATGGCAATGGCTATTTACATTAAGTGCAAATAGCATATTTTCTTACCATGATCTATTAACAGTAAATGCCAATAGATCTAAATACAATGAATCTAGTTTAATTACTTGTTAGTTCATGTTTGTTTTTACATAAGCTAAATGTGACTAACATAAACTTGTTTTCTTTGTCAGGATGATTTTACTTGGGGCACATTATCCTTAACTCATTTCTAATTATTCTGGAACTCCTGTGTTTAAATGTAATGGTTGATCTAATACGTGTTTACACTGAAAAGCAGTAGAAATGTGTTCCGTTTCCATCAAAATAAACAGTTTAAACAGGAGTTCAAGAGTAGTTGAAAATTGTATTACATTAGCAAACAATGAACTAACAACTAACTAAGGTAGTGATATTCACATATGAACTCATGTGACTCGTATGTTGTTTTTAAAGCTAGTTCATAAACAGCACATGCCTTAAAGAGCATATTGTAGGTTAGACACCCCAGTGAGTCAATGTGCATGAGAGTAAAGTAGGAACTACATTTTCTTTAAAATACACCATAAAGTTTATTTTTAAGCCATCTGTAGTCGTTTTAGTCACATAAATGTTCTTCCGCATGTGAAAAATCACCAGATTGTAAGTGACGTTGAACTAGGAAGATCGCACATATAAACAGTATGAAGACAACTGATCGCGGTGCACGTTTGGATGCCAAAATAAGATATTCTGAGACATTCACACAAACGATGCATCACAGCCATACAATTATGAGCCTGTGGACAGACCAACAGACATAACAGCAGTTAGAGAAGAGTAATTGTGTTGTAATGTGAGGAGAACAGAGCAGTGTGAGACCAATGTTACCTTACAGACAGATATGTTAGATAACGAAATCGTATCAGGCAGTAGCAAAGGTAGTATTGATCATCTAAATATTTATATTTACCAGTAACAGAAACTAAGCATTTAACAGAGTTATGCCACATTGTCACTATTTTTAATTGTAGATAAGTGAATAAGTGACTAATAACATAGTACATCTGTAATAATGCAGAAACATGTGAACAAGGTTCTTGAAAATCTTTTCTCTTAGAGCTTTTGTAATGAAATAAAAAAGCACCAAAATATTAAAACTATTAAAATAAGTTTTAAAATGTTTTTTTATTTGTATTTTTTTTTAACATTTCAAATAACATTTCATTAACAGATCTGGGGTGCAACGACAAACAAGGAAAAAACAAACAATGACATAACTTGCAGCTGCACAATCATAGTACGATGCATTGTTTGGGAAAAAAACGATGTAGTCACGAGTGTTTTCCCAAAACCCGCAGTTTCTCAGTCACAGATCCATCGTCTAAACCATGTCAGTTATAGCGTAAAACGTCCATTATGACGCTCTAAACAGCCATAATCAACTTCTTCAGAGAAGAACCCCATAATTTCTTTGTGCAAATTATATTGTTTTACACAAAACCTGTTAAAAATTCAATTTTAGTTATGGTAAAAACATCCACTCGCTTTCCATATTAATTGAAATGTATGTAAATGGAACATATAGGATTATTAGGAAATTTGAAAAAATCCTACATTAATATTAATAATAATAATGATGATGATGATTATTTAGGATATTGCTTATAAATTTAAATTTTTTGGAAAAGTCTACTTTTATAATTTGACATGCAAACCACTGCAGAAATGTTCTGACCCACAGGCACATGTGTTATACAGTACAGATACTTAATAAATAACCCACTATAAATGAAAATAATTAACGTATGCTATGTGTTTTCTGTTTTTTTTTTTTGGTTTCACAAGCTTTGGAGACGTAACGTAAATTCAGCTTTTTAAATAATAGGTCCCCTATAGCTTTCGTCATGAGGCATAACTGTAAAATGCACTGTGAAGGGAGCACAATTATAAACATGAAGATCGGTAAAACTGAACTGTACGAATACTTTGAAAGCAAATTACACCTAAGAGAGATGACCTTAATGCTTTTTTAAAAATCATTCCAAGTTTAAATGTTAGAATGTTCTAAATGAAAATTAATAGGGCATAGGGGGAATAAGTGGGAATAGAGCACAGTTAGGAACTTTGTTTTTGACTACAGCTCTAGAGGTATAGTTGCAAGCATACAAGTTTGCGACCCTGTTTGAATGTTCCTTGGAATGATGGATTTTATATATGCATACATACATACATACATACATACATACTGTACATACATATACAGTTGAAGTCAGAATTATTAGCCCCCTGAATTATTTGCCACCCTGTTTAATTTTTTCCTCCATTTCTGTTTACTTATCCCTAACTGATTTATATTATCTTTGCCATGATGACAGTAAATAGTAAAAATTTGACTATATATTTTTCAAGATACTAGTATTCTGCTTAAAGTGACATTGAGGGTAATTAGGCAAATTATTGTATAATGATGGATTGTTTTGTAGACAATCAAAAATATTACTTAATAAAAATATTATTATTAAATAATGTTGACCTTGAAATGGTTAAAAAAAATTAACTGTTTTTATTCTAGCTGAAATTAAACAAAAGACTTTTTCCTGAAGAAAGAATATTATAGAAAATACTTTGGAAAAATATACAGTATTGTTAAACATGATTTGGGAATATATACAGTTGCAATGTCAAAATGAATGTATCAAAGACATTGTACTATATATAATATTTGAGACTCTTAAGTTATACATTTTTGTCCTTACTTTTATTCTACAGTTATAACTAATAAATAATAAAAAAACTCATCTTTTGTCTGAAAAAATATATAAATGGAATCTATGTTAATTTGTGTACTTATGCTTTCCTGTTTCTGTCCTAGAAGGTCCATTCAAAGGATTCTAGAAATTGTACCAATTCCAGTCTGGATCCAGCCTACCTGGTGAACACCACAGAAGACATCAAAGCTAATGAGTTTAGATAACTAGAACTGGACAAACAGAGTTGGCAAAAATCAAAGCAAACACCACTACATTACTATATTATTATTAAAACAATAAAAATATAAAAGAGATAGATGGACTTGGTGAGATTTACCTGTTTTGTGATGATTTTGTTTAGCTGTAGATTTAAATATCCATTGAGGAAAAATATTTGCACCATTAAGAACTGATCATATTGATCTCTGTTGCTATCTTATGGCGGAACAATGTAACGCCAAACTGCCAAAGAATTTCCATTAAATATTACTACAATTTATAATCAAATGTCATTTGTTGAACAACAACATGTAACAAACAAGAATATAAAGATGCCAAATAAATAAGTCAAATTGTTAATGGATGGCAACATTTTGTCTGTTTAACTGAGCACAATGCTTTTTATGCATCTGACTCCGCAACAGGAGAGTCATAACACTTATTAAAACATGCTTAAATCTATTAAACTGTTTTGTTGAATTATGTTTGTGTGTGTGTGAGAGAGAGAGAAGGTGTTTATTGGGTTATTCTATAAAATGTTTTTTTTTTTTTTTTTGACTATGTCTGTTAATGTGTCTAATTGAATGTTGAAATATATTGTCTTTCGCATGCTGTGTATGTGTCTAAGGTGTGACAAAAGTAGCCTAAACGCTATTTCTCGAAGAAATACTGAAATGAATTCTTTATTTACCCAAACCATAAAGTATTACATTTTCATGTAATTTCATGTAATGTTGACAAACATTTAAATTAATGTCATGATGTGGGAACATGTTGCAATTATCCATATTTTGGCACGATAAAAATTGCTGCTAAAGCAATTATATTTTTCAACAGAAAGCTATAAATAAACAATAAAAATTTTAATGTACACCTTTTAAATGTATAATACAAGCCGTTTTAAATATGGCAAATTTGATTTACCAAACAAATAAACTTAAAGTGTTAATTATTTTCTAATAAAAATTGTCACGTTTTAGACACGCAGGATAAAAATAAGCTCTTTAAATAATTTCTGGTTCGAGAAATAGCCTAATATGAAAGAAAAAGATGTCACCGAAAAAAATTGTAACCGTTCACACATAAAATTAATTGGTTGTAATTTAATTTAGCTTATACTAGTTTTTAGTTACAAATGCTGGCCTATATCTGATAAAATGTATACTAAAAAAATGTTTCTACAAAGTTGTTACAAACAATTTATATGGGTTGAATTAAAACAAATTAAATGTAGCCTATTTTCAACTTAAATAGTTTAAATTCAGAACTAAATTATTTAGAACTACTTAAAAATCTAATTAATCATCTTGCATGTTTTATATGTTCGCTGATAAATATGTGCCGGTATTAATGAGTAGAAATCTATTCAGTTTGTGTGTGCAGTTATTTTTGTAATAATATAGTGATTGTCGTGGTAAAACAGATTACTGGTGAACATCTATTTATTAGGCCTAAACCATATGGTTATATAGGGGAAGAGATCACATTAACTGAATAAAATGAATTTCAAATATCCAGTTTAGCCTACACCACTGATGTACTTATGAAATATCAAAATGCATTTTTATTGCAAAATAAATGTAAACAGTCCTACTGCCATATATCACGGGATTAAGAAACTTGAATAATATTCCGAAGGAAAACAAGATAATTAAAGTAAAACAAAATAAAAGTGAAATCAAATTCTTGACATACTAGCCTGTGCAAATAACTAACTTGCATATTTGTCTTCCCAAAACAGCTTAAAATACATAGTATAAGGCAAGATTAAGGGCACTCGCTGTTGTATTTCTCTACTTACACTGATGCAAACGGCATTTTACCGACCAAATAATGAATATTGATTCATATTTAAATATTGAAATAATGAACGTTGATTCAATGTCGAAATTTCGACGTTGAATCAATATCTTTTTTTCAACGTAAAATCCTTCCGATGTACCGACCAAATAATGAACGTTGGTTCAATGTTGAAATTTGATCGCCGACTGATACTGACTATTATAACCAATATTCGACGTTGAATCAACATCGGTTTGCTATCTGGGTCTTTAGATAGTCCTGCTCTACAGCGTGTATTCAAAATGATAGAAAATTCCATTATATAGAGAAGCTAATTAATGAAAAATCTATGTAGTTCCTTAAAAAACATCTGATCTTTAAAAATATATACAAGCTTCAAGCTCAGGCATGCACTCATCCAACAAAAAACTTTACAGCAATTTGTAAAATTTTGATTACGTCAGTGGCTAATTTGTGTTTAGGAGCAAATGAAGCCAGATGAATTCATTATTCTGAAAAATATGGGTTGTTTCAACTCAAAGTTGAGTAAATATTGACAAACCCAAAACGGTTTTATCCAAATCATTGGGTTTGTCCACATTTTACCAAACATTGGAATGAAGCAACCAGGCATTTATTACAGCGTACAAGTCAATAATTCAAAATGACGAAGACTAGAAGTGTCTTGTCTTCCATGACAAAGAAAGGACTGAAGAAACACTGTATATGAACATATTTCCTAAATTCAATCTTATTTTTGGGCAGGTGAATCTTGGGCAGAAATCATTCATAGAAGCATCAGTTTTTCTAAAAACTGACAGTACTCTTTTAAAGGGATTATTCGCCCAAAAATGAATATTCTGTCACCATTTCTCATCGTTTCAAACCATGAGTTTCTTACAGTTGAACACAAAAGAAGATATTTTGAGAGAAGCTGTAATCATTTACACTTTCATGGTATTTGTTTCTTTCTGATATACGGTAAAAATACTATGTTTCTGACGGTATGATAACCTTGGATAAAAATATCACAGTATCTCGGTATTGTGATTACTGCTCTAAAATAAGTTCTTTTTAAATGTCTGGGTAAGAAACAACATTTTATTCTATTACAAAAACAATATATTTCAACATATTAAAATGTTTTGGAAAAGTAAACATGTCAGGCTTAATAAATAAATAATTGACCTCTGCTGTCTTCATTACTTTCAAAAACACAAATTTCTTCAAAAACACATAAAAAAACCTTACATGTAGGAGTTTTAAAAACTTGACTTTTCTGAACCGCAGTATATACCTTGAAACTGGTTATCGTCCCATGCCTACAATGGAAGTCAATGTTATCAGCTTTCTTCAAAATAGCCTATCTTCTTGAGGTCTAGAGTTCATTAACGTTTAAAACCACTTGAGGGTGAGTAAACAATAATTTTTGGGTGAACTATCCCTTTAATACTGTCATACGTGTTTTTTACTTCGTTAGACTGTGTTTTATTTACAGGTGCAAGAGTGTAAAAGTGGCGGTTTTATGACAGGAAGTGGCCAATCAAGAATGACATCATGAGTCCAAACACTGTCACGCAGCTATAGGCATGTCCACTTGCAGCACCATCCAAGTAATAATCCGCATCAGTCTCATTATGATCTCCCGAATGCCCTCCATGTCCTCCATGTCCATGACCATGCCCGTATCCATGCCCATACCCGTAGCCGTGTCCTCCGTATCCACCATACCCATACCCGTATCCTGGTCGCCCCATGGAGCTCAAACCGTGACCGACCAACATTCCTCCAAGAGCTCCTGCCGCCGCCGCACCAGCCACCTTGCCTACTCCGTGTCCCGAGGAGCCCGTGTGTCCTGTGTGTCCTGTGTGTCCTATGTGCCCCATGTGTCCCGTGTGTACGGGTGGAGCTCGGTGATGCCCTCCAGCTGCACCCCAGCCCGCGCGACCCGAGCTGCTGCCTCCCCAGCCTCCACCTCTCCCGCCGCCACGTCCGAAGCCCCCGCCCCGGCGAGACTGCGCTACCGGTAGCAGCACAGCCAGCAGCAACAGGCAGTTTAGGAAGGAGAAGAGCTTAAATTTGGAAAGCATCCCCACAGGAGCTGCGAAAACACAAGGTTGGAGGTTTCCGAAACAATCAGATCATGTGTCTGAAAGCGGTTCGCTAAAAATAGTCCAATAAACCAATCAGACACTGACTGATCCGTGACACTGAGATCTGGCTCTAGAGATATAGAAATCTTCTATAAATCAAAACAACTGCACTTGATATGTCTTTTTAAAAAATGAAAGAATTATTAACCATAAAGGTATATGTTTACATAAAATGTAGCCTATTAGTTATATTTATATTTAAGGTTACAATATGGCTCTGTGGTACTTTGATACAATCAATAATATTAACGTTTTTTATTATTAATTGTTCATCACTATTATTAAATATAGAATTAATTAAGTTTATACACAAGTCAAAGATGTTTTGGTTCCCTCTTCAGTTATTTTGCTTCAATTGTTATACACTCTCAGAAATAAAGGTACAAAACCTGTCGCTGGTGTGGTACCTAAACGAAAAGGGTACAATTTTATATCTTATGTGTGCACATTGGTACTTTTAAAGTACAATTTTGTACCTTTAGGGTACACTTTGGCTTTTTGATAGTACAATGAGGTACATTTTTGTACTTTTTATGTATTAAGTTGTACCTTTAAAGTACGTAAGTGCCCTATAAGGCACAAAAGTGTACCTTTTGAAAAGGTACCACCCCAGTGACCGGTTTTGTACCTTTATATCTGAGACTATGGACATAGGAAGATTCTTCAGTTCAAGTGTCTGATTATTTTAAATAAATACAAATAACAATAATAAAATACCTGAAAATGCTTACTAAAATACAGAAACAAATAAGTTATCATACAAAAATGTATCGTAGGACCAAATTTTGAAGGATAGTCACAACATATAATCACTGTTTCCATAAATAGCGGTATTTATTGTCATTACACATGTACAAGTACAATGAAGTTAGATTAGATTCAACTTCATTGTACTTGTACATGTGTAATGACAATAAAGTTGAATCTAATCTATTTTAATGTTAATCATTCTTGTTGTAAATATGGTTGACAATATTTTTTTAAACACCTAAAAGTAAAATTTCTGACATTTATGGGTGTCTGGCGGAAAATATAATAGTAGAAATCGAATAGTGATGCTTTACTTGTAAGAAAAAAACAAACAAACAAACAAACATTCTACAGTAGTATACAAATAAAGCCGTCTTCAATGTTATTGTTTTGATTCTTGAAAACCTGTTTATGTAATTGACCAGTAGTGTCTGTTTGTTTATTTCGATTCACAATAAATCAAGTTCTGTATCAAATCTTTTGCTGCTTGAAGGGAACTTCAACACTGGGTATTGCTAGATGTTGTTATCTAGGGTCAGGCAATGAAATGATCTTTGTAGAAAGTAGGCCACCAGTCTGACAGCTTATTAGACAGGTAATCTGCTAGTTCAATGTCTGGTTATCTTATAATCTGCTTCACTAATACATCGCAGAGACATTTCACATTCATATACCCATTAAATATTGTCAACAGCACTGGAAGTTGATCTGCATTATATATATATACATATACATATATATATATATATATACATATATATATATATATATAATCTG